AAATTGCATTACTTATTTAAAGTGAACTTTTTACTTTCGTTAACTGTGCTGCCCTAGCAGCAAGCAACTTAATAAAGCACACAGTTATAACGAAGCGATCAGCCGATCCGTTTCGGTGGGTCTTTATTTTTGTCAGCTACAAAACGACGGGAGCAGCGCTCCTCCTTTTGTCCTTCCTCGCTCTTTTCTGTCTCCTCTTTAACACATGGCTCATCTCTTTATAGGTTGCACTCATTTTTGCAGAAGAGATTGCCGAGATTCTGTAGCTGCCCTTACTTTCCGCCTCTCAATCTGTCCGAAGGCATCCGAGCAATGCAGCAAGCTAATTTTGCAGATGGGAAGCCCTCTGTGTTACACACCACTTGTCAGCATCACACTGAATAATGTAAAACTAATGAAGCTGTGAGTTGAGCTGAGGCTGCCCTGTTTCCCATTTTTTCCCCCCAAGTCAGCTGCTTTGAGGCCATGTTGGACTCCTTCTCTCCCTCTTTCTTTGGTAGTTCTCAATTTTCCCACACTCCACTGTCCTATCTGGATAAGGTTCAAAGAGAGGAAAAGAGATTGTAAATCAGTGGATTTGTTTGGAAAAGTCACATAGGCTGTCTTTACAGCTAGGCCCCCCCTTTCCCTGTTATTTTTCGCTGCAGGGACGTTGTTTTGATAATATATTTCAGATGTGGAACTTGCTTTCCATTTTGTCTAAAAGGCTGTCAAGATTGGGCTACCACACGCCCGTCTCCTCTCCGCTGTATTATCCTAAGTGCATCTATTTCAGCCTCCCCCCGTGGTGCGGGAGAGATGGCGCTCCCCGCCTCCAACAGCGGCCGTTTTCAGACGCCGCCGAAGAAGACCCGACTTGTTTTTCAGTAAATGAAACTACTCTACCCGTGACCCCCTATGGCCCTCTCTGAAATGATCTACTTTGGATACAAATGCTGCCGCCGCCCTACACCCGGCTTTGCTTTTTTACGGTCCCTCCTGACCTCTTTTTCCTGTTACGGCTGCTTGCCGTACACTGTACTTAACCGACTCGCATTTCTGCCTGACTACCTGGATAATATTTTGCATCGAACTGTTCTTTTACGTAATGGGAGTTCGAGGTCGAATCAAAACACACGGCTCCTCGGCTCAGACGCTCCACACTACAATGCTTTTGACCTAAGCTGTGTTCGAAAGTAGGTCCATGAATCGCGATTAGACGATCAATACGATTTTTTTACGAATTTGTTATGAGCTGTGGGACCCAGTTAGTGCTGCCCGGAGGGGCCGTACCTCTCTAATCTGGGGGGGTTGTGGGTGCCGCCGCCCGCTCTGCAGGCACACACACCGCAGCCAACCGCCGACCTTGTTCCTCTGAGTGGCAGCCTCTCACATTCAGATTTATGCATTAACTTTCCTCCTTTCTCTCCCCTGGCGGTGGTGGACACAGAATGTTGATGAGAGTGATCACAGCGGCGACTTTCGGGGGGTGGGGGTGGGGGGGGGGCGTTGGTTTCGTTGTCACCGCAGTGCTACGCCTCTTAGCGACTTAGACACAGCGCGGTTACACATTTGCATCTCTGGACACCCCGGCAGGCTGCGTCTTTGTATTCATGCCCACCCTTGCACAGATGTTGAAATGAGTCCTTTTGAATACATTTCCATTGGGATAATAGGAAAAAACATGTCTGCTGGTCCTGCAGAAATCGCTGAGTTCTACCTCCCATGTCCTTGAATTACATCTCCTCAGCTTTAAGCCTGGATGAGCCTGGCAGATGCACATGAATAGGAAAACTGGAAATGAAAGAAATCTGCGCGTTACGCACCAGTGCTCCACTTCGAACATTTAATTGAAACGGATGCAATGAACCTGTGTGTTTTTATTAGTCTGTTAGAGTAGCTGCGCTTTCCTTTTTCAGAAAATATTGTGCAGCATACTTAAAATATCAGAGCAGAAATCTTGGCATTGTTTTTCAGACACCTGTTGCACTTTTTGTGAAGTTCAGTGACAGGTTGCCCAAAAAAACAAGTTGTGTTGCTTGTAAGATTCACTCCTGTGGAGTTATTCTGATGATTTCCCTGCAGTACAGAGAAGGAATAGAGTGGAGAGCTGCAGAGGAAGGGCTCTGTGTTATTGATTGACAGTGAAGGGCTGACCAGCTATAAGGGTGAGGGCTTTTACTTTGCTGGATGCACTCGCCAACAGGATAGAGTGCTGCAACACGGCCGTATCAATTACGCCCGTTCACGTCCGAATTCTTTTCTTATTCCTATCATCTGCGTGCCACTCGCCGTCTTTATGTGTACGCATCGGTTTCTGTCCAAATATTTGTATTCACATCTTGCATCTTTCAGCCTGATTTCCCTCCCTCTACCTCTCTCATGCTGGCCAGACCACTGCAGAGCTCTTACAGAAAAGAAGCATAGTGAGATATGGTACTGCATCATAATGCCTTAAAAAATGTACTTACAACTCGCTGCACCTCCCCTCTCATCACTTCCGCTGACGCCATAAGAGATGCCTTTGATGAATATATTCTTTTAATTTAAAACTTTTTTTTTTTTTGTGGGAGCCCATGTGACATGTATAGTTAATGGAAAATGGTTTTAAAAATCCATTTGCATGTCGATGCTTTAAACCCATTAAGAAAAAAACTTTGTTTAAAAGAAAGTGAGATGTTAAGCTTTATTGGAAGTTGTGCTTGTACCGCCCTCACACTTTGCTTTAAACATCCACCCAGAGGAAGCCCTGCAGAGAGGGAGGTGGCATGAAGACGTCTCCGCATCTCCACAGAGCTTTCTGCCTGGGTGGTCTCTAGTCTGTTGTACTTTGTTGCGGTCCCAAACTACATTGCATTTTTTGATCTCGGCAGCAAGGACTCTCCTATGAGCTTCGGCTTCAAAAACAGTTTTCAAGGCAGGTTGGCTTTTGTGCACCAAACACACTGAGCTGCTTGTACTTCTGTCTGATTCCGCTTTCATTCGGGGCCTCTTTGCAGTCTCAAAGTTTGATTTCATGTGTATTTTTCAACTTTTTTTTTTTTCCAGATGGAATCTTATAAGAAATTAATGTTTTTCACGGAAAACTTTCATACCACAGCTGAGAAATCATCCCCCTCAGGGTCGCTACATTAAAAATCCAAACGTATTTCAAAATCATAACCTCTCGGACTATTTAGCCAGGCAGCTCCCTCTCTTAGGGTTTGAAACATCTTTAGGTTTTTGGCACAAAAAGAGTAGATTAAAAGGGAACCACACTAGTTGCCCTTGACAGTATAATTTCCTTCTCACCTACTTCAAGTTAAAATGAAACTTGGTCCTCTTCAAGTTTCTGGGAGCTCTTTTATGTCTGTTTTTATTTTTTTCGTATTTTGAATATTAAATAGCTTTATTCTCTTTTTCTAAAAACAAAGAAAAAAAAACAGTATAAAAGACAGTATTGCACATAATAAATCAATTGCACTTCTTTAAGGTACAGATAAACATCTATATGTCTCTTGATGCTACAAGTAGATGAAACTACTGAAAGAAACCAGCTGCTCATATACAAGAGTGAGGGTGTGAATAACAGGTAATCACAGAACGCAGCATGTAGAAGCTCGTGATGAGTGAACCGGCTATGACTAGTTGTCTGTTCGGTATCGTTGCGGTATTGTTTGCTTTTATTCTTTTAACACCACTTTGGCGATTCCTGTATTTTGGGGCAGTGCTTTTGGCTTGAAAAGTGACTTCGTTTTTTTGTTCCTGCAGGTGTTGCTAACTTCTATTCTCTTTGTTTAGATATTGGCTGCTTTCCAACTCATAAAACAGTATTAGCCCTGTTTGATGCTATATAAGGTGTTCATATATAGGAAAAGTTGTCTGTACATAGTCTTGGAACCCTGTGTCGAAATAGGAGAGAGTTTCTTACATTACAGTCGAGCAGAAGCGCTTAAAATGAAAAAAAAGGGGGGTGGGGTAACTCTTGTAAATTTCTTAATTTATTTTCTTTGTAAAATCTATAAAATTTACTGCAAAATTCAGGAGTTGTAAAAAAAAAAAAAAAAGCATGCAAGGCTACATGCCTGCCACTCCACTCTGTAGAAGCCCTGGTTGTGATCAGAGGTGGAACATTCAGTCTTTTTTAGTGTTTCAGTAGCTGATTCAGAATTACTCTAGCAATACAATCATAGCAATTCCTCTGTTATGCCTCACATGTGTCTAAAGTGGAATCACTGAGGAAAAAAAATAGAGCAGGACAATTATTTTCTGTTTTGATACCACATTTTGAGAATGAAGCTAATGTTTACAATAAATGTGAAATTCTATTTCTTTGATGGCAGTGCTGTATGGTTGTGGCTTATTTGAAAAAAAAAGTTTTAAAGTACAAACATGTAATAAGTGAACTGAATTTTTCTCACCATGTTGAATGCTTAAAGCACTTCACGCTTCATGCCACATTCCCATTCCCAGGTGTCAATCAAAGAAAGTCCCAAAATTCTTCCCCACACTGGGGTATTCTGGTGTTTTCTTATAGCATACTATATTCTGAATCGAATGGAACTGCTTCAATTACCAGAGGCATTTTGTAGACATTCCCATTGATCTGGGGGTTATTGTTGATTTAATTTAATTTGAGTCTTTAGAATATAGTCTTGAAATGTTGAATTTATTCCCAACATTCTGACTTTGCTTTAAGCTTTGTCTGCTTTATTCTTTTTTTTTCTACATTCAACTCTCTTCAGCATTTCCCCAGTATTAATGGTATTTCCAACTATTATAAAAAAGAAATGCTTTATTCTTAAAATTAAAAAAATAAATAAATCAACACTTTTTGTTTTTTCTTTCCCACTGGATGTCCCTAATGCTACGTGCATGCGCTAACAGTGAGGCTGTTCACTTGGTTTCATGACACAGTCTTCTATCTCCGTCTTGTATTATATTTAAGTATTACCTCAGAAATGACACAGTTCCTTTGCAGTGTAGTGCGTACTGCACAGCCCCCTTCACTCCAGCTTCAATTATTATATTTCTCTTAACCTTAAAGTAAAGTATTATAGATATATTTATATAGAAAAAAGTACATTGACGTCTAGTTTTGCAAATATTATTAAGAAAATAAGTGGTATTTATTCATTTTTTTACTTCAAAGTCAGATAATTCAAGGAGACATTTTGGCAATGGAAAGGTTTATCATAGAACTTGAATGAACATCAGACATTTTTGTCTTTTAGGTCTTTTTTTTTTTTATCAGTATGAAAGTCCTTAATCAGCCATGGTTAGTAGGTGATCTACATGTGGGAGTTAATACTCAAAATAGTTTTTCTTTGATTATTCTGCAGAAATGGTATCCTGAACAGTGTTAATTGTGCTTTGCAGTACAGTGATATGCTGTTTATGGAGGCCCCCGGAGGAGCGTGGTTCAAATGCCACCTTCTTCTGGAGGCTGGGAAGAAAGACAAAGTTCCTTCTGGTGAACAGAAATGTGACGAACACTAGGCCGTCATCTTAGAACAGGACCCCGCCGACATCAGCTATAAAAATATATGAAAAGGGACAGCAGGAATCGAAAGTGGCCTCCTCACCTTGCTGATCCCCCAAATATGTTTCTCTGGTATTATTTCACATCTTGTCTGAAGAATAGGTGGAAAATATGACTAAATCCTTTTTTTTTTTTTTGGTTAGCATTACAGTTTCAGTTGTCCATTATATCCACATTCCATTTATGCATCCTGCCGTCTGGGCATCCAGACATTGAGCTCTCCGTTAAAACTGGTCTACAAAATTCCAAGAGGACATGATAAAACTGAAGACCGTGGATAAAACCCGACAAATATGAAAGGTCAGATGGACGGTTAAATCCTGTGCATTGGGAGCGAGGGGCTGGAAGTGATCTCGTGTTCTCACAGGAACCAAAGTTTCCAGCGAGCGTGCTTCTTGGAGTCAGCTTTGGACTTGCGTTTAGGGGTGGAGGTGAAGGCCTCCTGGGGGTAAGGCAGGGGGAGGAAGGGGGCGTCCTCCGTTGGACAGAGCCTCTTCATCAGCGGTTGCAGCTTGTCCTCCTGCAGCTTGAAGTCCAGTTCCACACTAGAGCAAAAAATCAGACGCAAACGGTTGAAATGAACTCAACTTGCAGCTTCATGATTGTATCAACAACACCTTTTCTGGGTATGATGCATATTTTCCAAAGCCTTATTCTCCCACTGCTTTGTGAATCACGATTCTTTGTCTTCTTGTCATACAACATTTTACACAAAGAGCTCTTTCATGACAGATTTTCAAAACATGCCAAAAGTATGCAGATCTGCCTCGAATAATAAGTATTTTTTAATATTGCCTGGCTTCACTGCACTGATTACATTAATTCTAATAATAGCGGAGAGTTGATTTATGTAATAATTACCCAGATCATATAGTCGAATCGGCTGCGACATTGAAACCGCTAATGTGACATTTTTTATAGTCCAGTCATAGCCTCCCCCTTAAATAGCAGAATCTCTCCCCTACAGCAGAAATGAACTGGACAGCAGGAGTTGCCACTAAAGCTACTCAAATGTGACAAAGCATATGAAGTGTTCACCAAGCCATCAAACCCATCAGATCGCATTCTGATGGCATTTGAGCTCAGTTGGTAGCATGGGGAGGATGTTTTTGATATTAGGGGTTGCTACAACTTGACTCAGAGTCATGAATATTAATGTGAAAATGTAGGGATGTGTTGTTTTGACCCATGCACATTTTCACAATATCAGCCACAGGTGAGGGAGATGCCGGATGCTATTTTTATTTAACAATTTGGTACGCAAAAAGCGGAGAGTCTTACATCACCCTTGCCCCGAGAGAATGAGGGGATTTATCTGGACCCGTCATCATTGTAATCCAACAGACTCAGCTTTTGCAAGTGCTAAATCTGCTAAAGCTGTCTCCAGTCACAACCTGAGTGAAAATGGTGGGGAGTCAAACAGGCATACGCATAATGACTGCAAGCTGCCCGCTGTCATTTTAAATACAGTGCTTCTGTAATGAAATTCAAAGAAAGATTTGATTTCGTACGTTGATGCATTTGGCATTGATTTGAGGGCTATGCGTGTACGTTGGTGTTTGACAATAACTGAAGCAGATGTTTTCTCAGCTAAAAACTCAGCACTTTGCATTTCTGTGACTCAGGCTGTTTCAGAGAGCCAAGAACATCACAGCTTTTTATCAATAAATCACTGGCTGTTAATTCCACTAATATGAGTCCATGTTTCTGCAAAGGCTCTTAATTGTGTGTTCACACTCAGATTTGACTGTCTGGGGGAAGAGTTGTGTTTCATCTTTGTGAATAGGTGGTGGTTTTGCATTATGCATTCTAAACAAACCATTAAAGGTCTTCATAAAAGGCAGAAACATCTTACAAAAAGCAGTGATATTGCAAAGGGAGGAGAGTTCATGCATTACTGATCACTGGAATTGTCCATTTAAAAAGTAATTTAACAGACTACTCAATTCCATATTCTTAAATTCTGTTTCACATAGGAACCAATATTAACTTGTGTGAACTAAAAGTACTTATATATAAATGACACAATGAAGAATTTACAGGTTCATTTTTTATTCTATTTGGTTTCTTAAAGCATTAAAAAATGCTGAAACACCAGTGTCATGCTCATACAATGTGATTTGGTTGTTGGGGTTTCATACATCCAAATAAAACAATATACCGGTATATATATATTTTTTGCCTTTTAGAGCAAGGAAATATGCAGTGATTCATGCCCTGACATTATGTTGCCTTTTCTGCTGCCGCACACTTATCTCAAACTCAGAATCTGACACAAAACTCCAAGAATTCATTAGTGAAGATTTAACGGGCGCAGCCTCGGACTATTATATTCCTCCTTTCGCTCAATCTTTTCCTTCTTTTTTAGAAGAGCCCTTTGACGCCAGTATTTAGTCATTTATTTTTATTTAATGCTTTTTCAGGGAACCGAACTCATTTGAATGTGATCCTCATGTTGATGGGGTACAATAAAACACATCATCTGATGAAAAATGGAATGTGATATCTACCAAAAGAGCATTAAACTGTGTCTCACAGCTTAAATAGCACCTTTGGCTAAATCTGTTAACAATCGCTGTGTGCGTATGAAGAAGTAATGATAGTTTGCTGCCTAGAGCTTAACTTGAAGTCATTGAAGTGGACCGGAATAGATGCGTTTGAGTGAATTTGATTTCCTAATATATTTAACTGTCTGGCAAAATTAAACAAATGACTAAAAAAAATACAATAATGATGGTTTTATTACATTTCCATGATTGTTTATTTAAAAAAATTACTTTGAAGTGGGATTTTATATGGCTTTTCTCTCAATAAGGCATGTAAATACACCCCCTCAGTAGATACCAGAGCAGGGAGAGAATTTAGTCTGCTCTGCATTTGAAGGCCCGTAATGCACAGCGGCCGTTGTAACCGTTCCACAGGTTTTTGCCCACCATCGACAAACAGAAATTGAATGTAAAGACTACCAGTTAAATGGTATCATTAGACCTATTTTCATTTGTATTTCTAGTGCATTTCAGCTCCCCGGCGCTTAAGCGGGACAGGCCCATTTACATATCGCTTACTTTTATGTACCAGTGACCGCTCATAAAACATTCAGAGCAGTCTGAAGTTTATACTTCAAAAGCAGCTGCTTATGAGTGATGGAAAGCCTGAGTTTGTACTTTTTTCACTCCCCCTGCCCATACAACACGCCCGTTTGAAAAGATTAAAGCGCAATCTGACATCTGAGCTCAGACTCAGAAAACTCCTTTTGTTCCATGGAATTTCTGTATGAAGTGCAGCAGCTACTGAACATATTTACTCTCCTCACCTGTCAGATGATTACAGACACCACTGACACAACTCAGCTGTGTATTTGATGTCAGATTACGAAGCATTACTCTGCAATTACATGAAGAGTCTTTTAGACTGGCATCGCACCGCCCTCAGTGCTCATAAGCATTTCTTTAGCATTTATAAAGCACGGGGAAAATTATTATTTTTTAATCATCTTGCTTACCTCTAATATTAACTGACAGCTTTACACATTGGTATAGCTTTAAGTATACACATTGATACGATTGGCTGAACATGTAAACCCGGTTTTTATGATCTTCATGACTATTGGCTGATAAGTATGCCACATTGTGTTGTTTTCTGACTCTTAGGCTGTTGTTACATTCAGTTTTTAAAACTTTTCACAAAAACTATTAGTTACTTCATCAGATGAAATCATTACACTCTCTTAAGGATAAACGACATGCATATTTCACAAAGAGTTGAGTTAATGCCACCGAGGACATCACCCACATAGCTGGCATCTTTGCATAGGCATTAAGCCTTTTGGGGAAACTGAACCTTTATAACTGTCAATCTCGAAGCAAATATCTAGTACATATAAAGTGGCCTTTGGTAAGGGAAGCAGGGAAAATTAAATGTCACTGAAAATAAAAAAGGAGAAAAAAAAGTCTTCATAACTTAATCAGAGGGAAAAAAGGGAAAGTTGAGCGAAAAGATAATCTCAACTTTGAAACCCGCTAAAAACGGCTTTGTAATAAAAGATTTATTAGCCTTCCAGTTATCAGCACGTCTTTATGGAAGTGTCATGGGCCTCGCTGCGTCATTTCGCATTTTGCTGAAAGAGAAAAGTGAAAGGTTGTTGGCATTTCCCTGTCCCCTGCCGGCCACCCTCAGGAGTGGTTTGGAGTGGTTCTGAACAAATTGAAGAAAGCACTGTGGACCTTGTCAATTTTTAACCTCTGTTCCTCACTTGCTCCCTTGCCTTTTTCGTGCTCCCGCTCCTCCTAAACGTGTGCGTATAGCAGGAAAAAAAAAAGCTAGTTGTCAATTTCCTGCACTCTGCATGATCTCATTCGTTACCATGAACACGTCTCATCTGCCTTTCATCCCACTTTAAACCTCTTTGGGTCTTGATGTCTCTTTCATCCTCTTGTGTTCCCACATTGTCATCCAGTCCTCCTTTGTGTTCCCTTATCTGTTCCAAGGTGAGAACGTGCTCCTCTTGACTGTCCGCACTGTCCCTTCACACTATCTGTCCCACTGAGGATCGCTCTTGTATCTATGGTAACCAGCTTGCCACCACACTAGAAAACATCATTATGCTTGTACAAAACGAGATTTTCTCCACCCCCAGCGTGGTCGTGCCTTGCTCCGTAATATCCATATGCGATAATGTGATCAAATCTGCAGCCTTAAGTGATGCTTAATTGATTTTCATAGCCTCACACAATAGATTGATTTTTTTCTTACATATAAAACCCCATCTATTTTCACAGAAGAGTGTTATTGAAGGAATGTTTTGTTACTAGATATTTAACTTAATCATCATTTGCTGGGCTCTCTCTTTGAATTAAATGGAAGAGATGCAAGCTAATGAAATATAATTGTACAGGAGGGAAATAACTGCTCTGCTGTGGATAAACAGTCACTAGGACCCCCAGAATCAACTTTCTTAGTCACGACCACAAGCATATTTTTTTCCTTTTTCCAATGGGTATGTTAACTCATTTAATTACAATGCAAATAAAATTAGATTACAGCGCCAAGACGGAGTGGAAAACTTTTCAGGATGCTTAGTTTTCTCTGCAATTGTGTTTGCTCCATTTTTGTCTCTCCCAGCCCTTTTTTCTCTCATGTCTATCAGAGCCTTTCTCCCAAAAAGTATTCTAGCACTTCATCAGACAAAGTACATTGCAATATTTTCCCCCTTATTCTGTTTCATTGTCTCCCAAAGTTGGTTGTTACAAAGTCTGGTAACAACGTACAATTGAGAAAGTTGTTGAGTGAGGTTGAAAGACCGAAGATGGTTAAAACAGAGGAAAGTAGGACAAGAGAAAATATAGCAGTTTGCTCATTCTGTTTGAGGTCTCCGACCAGAGACAACTACATTTTATTGATCCGTGCTGTTGTTATGCTAAGGATGGACCGGATGATGCTATACGCAATCAATACACAAATTGATTGTATTGAAGAGTCCAGGGCTGACTCCTCGCTGGGCTGCGTTAAAATGATTTATAGACCCAAATGTCCACTCCACTCATTTGACCAGCTGTATCATAAACACAGAGCTAGAGGTTTGGCCCAGCAGCAGGAAACAAATAAAGCCAGAAGCAGCTTTTAGGGGTTGGAGCCCAGGACACAGTAACCATCTTGACCTCATCATGTTAAAAGTGTGGTTATTGCTCCCCCTGAATTCAGTTCAAGTCATTAAGTTTCAGTCTCAATTGTTTATTTAATTTGATGAATGATTTGTAAAAACTCAGGTCCAACAGTTTCTCTGATTTTCTGATGTTTTAAATCTCTTTTCATTTGAGGGTTGTGCATCCTTATTTATACTAAATTTATCACTGAAGAGCATCTGTTTAGATACCAGTAGGAATATCATATTTGATTATGTGATTTTCATTCTTCAAATCTGCATAATTTGTTCACCTTTAAAGAGCAACAAGAATAATAATGATAAGAGAACTTACTTCATATTGTGGCTCATATTGTCCAAATACTGATTTTCATGAGATATAATCAGTGGAAAACTCAATTTTGAACTTATTATTAGTGATACTTGGTGAATTAATAGCTCGTATTCTTTTTTAAAATATTTGCGCAAACCTAAAAACTTTCACATTTGAAGCTATGACGGGCTTATGATTTAGATCAGGTGAGTAGGACTGACACATCACAAATCTAAACTCCTTATAAGCAGTGGTTCCAGGGGCTGCCATAGTTTTCTTGCAGTAGAACAAGAATAAAGAAAATTCTAATATACGCCAGAAACGACTATTCTTCCCACATACACCCAATCTCACTTCATGGCTCGGCTTCCTATCCTGTGTTTCTCCACCTCCAGAGAGGTTGTTTTCATGGAGATTTAGGTAATTAGATTGCCATTTAATCCCCCTGCCTCTGTGAATACAACTGCTATATTTGATTCTGTGTCCAATCAACACAATTTACCATGTCAAGCGAGTCTCTTAAAGATAAACTCAGGTAAATTTAACACATTTCAAACATCTCAGTTGGAAATTTTTGCCCTTTATCAAATGGAAATCCTGCCAGATGCTGACAAGGTTTGTCAAAAATGAACCCCCTTTTGTATTGAGTTTCTATTTTTCTGCACTCTACCAATGTAGCATTTCAATTGATTGTGGTGGGTCTGGAAAGACAAATGGGGAGAGTGTTGTTGTTTCTGTTTCAAGGGGGGTTATTGTGCGTGTATGATAAGCACATTTTAGGTCAGGGTAAAAATCTCATGTGACTTTGGCTCAGACTCATCGGTGTGGATTAAAAAATCCTTAAGACAATTTATGTGTGTTGAACAGCTTGCAAACATATACTTAATTGGCTTATATTCAAATGGGGTGCCTTTACTTGAACTTGCATCTCACCATTTTTTTTGTTGTCACACCTAGTCTAGAAATACCTCAATAGATATAAATCATCAAAAAGCATTGGTAAATCATATCCATTTTTAAATTTAAGGCTGGTTAATTATCTTTTGACATATCTAACACTAGGTCAGATTTCAGCTTTGAGTCCCTTTTCATCCATCCATATTTCAAACCCATGCCCGAACCATCTTTTCTTCATTAAATCTGTATATACCTCCTATCATCTGTAATTCTGCTCATCTTGCTCGATCTCTCTGTCACTGAACTGCTGGTGAGGCACCTTTTCGTGTTGTCCTCCCTACGGCTATGCAAGAGTCCTGCAGTGATTTAAAAAAAACATTTAAGGACACAATGCACCTCCCTCAGCTCAGGCCTCTGAGGGGACAAGGCTATGCTGTGCCTCTTGATTTGCCGCAGCTGATTGAAGTTTAGCCAGAGGCTTATCAGTTATTGAGGTTGGTAGATAAAAAATTATTTAAATGGCTCTTTAGAGGAGAAATACAGACTCTGTTCAGCAGCTGTGGCCACTAAGCCGGGTTTATAGCCTCTTAGCTTTATACTTTATACCTTCAACTTGTACCCTCCAACTCTTTTTTTTCTTTCATCTCTCTTTGACTCCTCCTCTTACTAAGCACTAAACAGAAAAAATAGACTCTGTTCACATAGGTTGAGCCCTGTAATTTTGGGAGAAAGAAGCTCTTTTGGTAACAGCCATCACTCTGACTGTCAAAGAGAATAACATCTTACAGATGTCTGAATGTGCATGGCTCTGAACATGAAAAATGTAGCCAGCAGATAAGGGAAAAAAACGGCCGTTAGTACTGCATCTTGGCTTTGTTACAACACAATAAGTCTGCAAATTTCGTATCACAGCAATTCATTCTTAATTTTACATCTCAATATGTGTGTATGTGTATACCTGAAACACCAAGAAACACATTTACCGTCTTAAAGTATGTTGGATGAGTGATCAGTTACCATAATTAGAGCTTGCTGATTTTCCTTTTAGATAAATTGACTCTAAGCATTACCTCCAATATATGAATATTTATTCAGTCATAAACAAATATGCTCACATGCATGTTCACAAGAAGATAACTTAATATCCCGGTTAACTGTTGACTTCTGGTTCGCACCCTCACACGTTTCCATATACAGTAACTTAAACTGAGATCTACAGAGTTTCAGTTGGCTTGGCAACGGCAAAGAAGCTATTTCATGAGGTTTTGTCGGTAATTAATTCCACCTTTCATGACCCGGTGCTCGCTCATTTCTACAGTTGTATCCTCCCCACTTTTCAACTCTTTGCCCTTTTGTCTCTAAATCCAGCGATCTCTACAGTTGTGCAGCACCTGTCAGTGAACGAAGTGGTGCGAGGGGATAATTGGGCAATGAGACAAAGACGTATTGCTGAGGAGAGAGTGTTGTGTGTAAATGTCACATGGGTTAATTAACAGCATTCGCATTAGTCCTGCATCCTACGGTCCTTTCCTTTGTCCCCACTCCACCTGTTCCTGTTCCCTCAAGGACAGAGGACGGACGGGGGGCGCGTCGGGTTCGTTGTGTCTTTGGGAGGGATGGCCACTAACCTGTAAATAATGCATGCGCTGTTCCGGCATGTGTCACAGTTGGCCGTGTCCTGTCCGGTTCGATAGGAGAGTCTGCGTGGGGAGATAAAAGTCGTGAATGAGTAATTACAGAACTTGTTAAGCTGCCGCCTCGCACCTTTCCTTTCTCATCTTATTTGTCATTCCTGGTTAGCGAGGGGCCGGGGTAAATGAGGCTGATGAGAAGCCGCGCTGCCCTCTCCCGGGTTGTCTTTGCCCGGCAGCGGGGGCGCGAGAAGCCCTGAGTCGGCCATTAGCAGAGGTCGGCGGTTTGGAGGTGAGGGGGAGCTAACGTGATGCACATGGTGAGTTTGTGTGCTAAACTGAAAGGGTTTTTTTTTTAAGAAGAAGAAGAAGAAGAAGCGACTGGTGATATTACCATTTTAATTAGAATTTGAGAGAACTGTTAGGCTGCAATGAGTGATGAATTTATTCAGCCTACTCATTTTTGGACATACAGGGGATGGGGGAAAAAAAAACTACTGTTTCCCCCTAGAAGTCGTCCGACCAACCGTGCAAAGCCCATAATTATCTCAATATTTAAATCAGAATAACTTGAAACCATTGACCCCCAAACATTTCAGAAACAGATAGGCTTTATGGGATATTATTGCCCTATCCTGTTTGATTTATTCTCCCATTGTGGATTTTATTATTGTCTCCTCATATTGACTCTTTTACTCATAAAGGGAAAATCTGTCCATCGATTAATCCATTCGGTGAAGGACAGTGTCGTAAAGAATGTGTTGAGTTATTACCTGAAGAAATGAGAATCAATTAGGTCCTTTCTGAATATAAAATTTGACAGTTTTGTTTTGGACAGCTGCCCATTGGCTTTAAACCAGAAGCCAATTCTTTGACTTTTGAAATTCGTTTTTAAAACTTTTTTTTTATTATCACAAAGTCCTGCTACAGCAATTCTGATCATCTTTTTATAAGAAAGGTTTTCTGAAAGTTTTTCTGATAATAATGGCTTGCTCGGGACACTTTAATCTTCCTAATTCAATCAGTGTAAATCAGTGAATATTCTAACAAGCTCCACCCACATTTCCACCTTCATCACTTTTCCAAAGCCTACTCCGACAGGGCAAATGCTCTCTGCCCCGCTCTGCTGCTGGTAAGGAACAGCAATTAAATCACAATCCCGGTTGCTTACTTTGGGTCACTGTCTCCAGAATCGAGGGCTTTTTATTTAACTTTTTTTTTTCAGGAGCACACAAGTCCGTCTGAGTGTCGACGTGTGGGAGAAGTGTGACTCAGTCTGCTGTGCCTCTGGGAAAAGCCCGCTTGCCTTTTGGCTTTTTTATGCTGTCTGCCAGGACATGTGTTGTGATGTGTTTAGCAAGGAAATAGCTCAGTCAACCTGGAAGTTCAGTTGCTGACTTTTCTCCCTAGCTTGACTTACAAAGCAGAGATAGATGATGGCTAACTGTGCTTGTGTTTTATCATATAACACAAAAAATATCATCACATTGGATGTCGCTTGGACTCTATGGACTTGAGATGATGTGTTGGTTTGAAATAAGCGAGCTTCATAAGAAAGCTGTCTTATCAGTCCAGCTGTTTTTGCTTTTCAGTTTTCGGGTTGTAACAAATATGACATTGCTGAGTTTGTGCCACGGAAGATCCCCCAGAAACTGGCCTGTGTGTTTAAAGATGAGGCTGTTTCCCAGAACACGCATACCACAACATCAATGCCGACTCCACAGAGAAAAGCCATATTCGCCTTTCATGTATCCAGATATTTACACTCAAACGCATTTCTTTTTTTTGCTTTTTACTTTTAATCTGAGTTAGCGACCCTCAAATGAACACCACCAGATCCCTCTCATCATTGGACTTAACGCACTTTCAAATTCAATTCCCATATGACCGCTTTGCAGACACATTTGGCAGCAGTTTCGGCGGTGATCTTGTCACGCTGCCCGTCGGGTGCGGCAGCCATAAAAATTAAACCCCTATCATAAATTCATCCTCTTTATCTACTGCTCGGCTTTCTGTGACAGGTATTAGAGGTGCTGATGCCGGTATTGTTGTTTAAAGCCGTGGCGTTCCATTGCAGTGACACAGCCAGTTTGCTGGAAGTACGCACTTTGGATTAATTGTGTAGAAAATGTAATCAATTGGCTTTCCACTAGAGGAGGGATTCACAGTTGAGCAACGCACGGTGGACCGTTTACTTTCCTCCAGGTGAGCGAATCGATTAAACACCGACGGGCAACTGACTGACATCCTACGAAGAGCCCCTTAGTATTCTCCCTTCTCTTCACCATTACGGTGTTTCAAACCCTTTGCCCCTCGGTCTGTCGTCCCTCCCCTCTTCTCCCCTCATACCCAGTTGATAAGAGAAAATAAGAAAGCGGGGCTCATTTCGCCTGGTCTCCCTGGGGAGAGTGAAGCCAAAAGTGCCATTAACAGTATATTTATACACCCTCCCCCCCTTTTCTGCTACCAGGAGAGCTCTCCCAAAGGTCACTGAGTGGGTGGTTGTCCAGGGGTATAAAAGCATGCGCATACACGCAGTTAAATAGACACACCAGCAACAGGTTCTTATGAGTGTGATTAATTGGCCGTGGCCTGCCAACAGTGTCTGATGATACAGCATTATCCTTGCGCTTTTTGTGGTTGGACACAACATAGGATGTGCTGTAGAGCCTCGTTTCATCCCTTGTATTAACACATGTTGGGAAAGACTAATACTTTTACTAATATGTACGGGTTCTTTTTTTTCAGCCGCTATGTGAAAGCTGCTGTAATTAATCTGGAAAGTAAAGGATCGGGGTGTTTCCTCGCCGGTCTCGATGCCATTGTTGTTGTTTGGCTCTTGAATTGCTCATGCTGACTGGAAAAGGGGAGGAAGTTGTTTTTGGATGTCCAGTTTTATCAGATCCTGCTCCTTTTTCTGTATTTGTTATCAAGAGTTATGAAGTTAGTAAGACAGGCATGAAAAGGTGAGTAACTTCATTGCACAGTTGCTTTTTATTAGTTATTTATTTACTTACTCTATATTGAAGGAAATTGATTTTGTGATAAATCTTACTATATTAGACAAAACAGTCCACTTTAGATTCAGGTCTCAGTTTGGGAGAGTTTCTAAGTCGAGGAAGCGTTTAACGATTAAAAAGGGGTTTCCACTTTGCCACTGTGCCCTTCCTTTTCCTTGCCCTGTTTTTCATTTGCCTTTCTCCTCACATCACAGAGATCAGGGGAGATATGAAGAAAGTGTCTGTAAATACGCTTTGAATCAGTGCGGTAGCCTTTACTGTCTCTAGGGTTAATTGGCTCTGAGATCTTTGCCACCGACAGAAGATTCTGGTTGTTGTGTGACAAGTACCTTGGCTTCTTCACATGCAGTTTGGAACATTAGTTCTGGAGGATTCTGTCTTTCTGCCTATTAACAGCACGGGATGAAAGAATGCATTGTGGTGAGTGCAATGAGCACTGAATTTCCCTCCATGCTAATCAAATGTGTGTGTACCTTTTAGATTTGCACTCTCTCACCTGCAGGCTATGGGCGATTTGACCTGTTGGGTCAGGGACGTTTAGTTAAATTAAAGGAAACTAATGCAGGGCGAGTTAAGTGGAGTTACACTTTTCTTCTATGGCTCACTAAATCTTCAGTTTTTCAAAACCAGAAACGTGTACAGGAGGAACACAGCTGTGCACACCTAGACAAAGGGAGGTTCGCTTGGCCTTGAATGGATTAGAAGAGGCTTATGTCGTGCTGCTCACTGACTCTAGCTAAATACAGGTATTTGTAATTAATGAACGGAAACGTTTTTTTATGTTTCTGAACAAATGGCGCTCTTAAACAGTCCTCACTAATTATTGTCGAGAAACCCACCACTCTTCTTTTCCTCTATGCCTCTGTTCCTCTACTCTCTGCTTCTCGAGATACCTCTGAAAGACCACATGTGCTTTGCAGCTCAATGAGGACAGCCCCCCCACACACAGAACCTCACGCTTGCTTCTTTTCTTTCTTTCTTTTTTAAACTCACACCACACTTTCAGTAGCTTTATGTTGAGGAGACTTAAGGTTGACTCTTGTGAGATTTGAGAAGAATAACTGCCTTATCGGTCAGCTTGACTCAAGCTTTCAGACTGGTAAGAGCATTTTGGGTCGTGTGCCACCGGCCTATACCCAGCTTCTTTAAAAAATGTAGATTATGGGGAGTTTTCACTGTGTTTCTCACTGTGTCTCAGCACAGTACTGGTCAAAACAGATATCTGAGTGCTGAGCCCCAGTAATTCACCCAACAAATTGGCAATTTAGTTCACCTTGTTATTTTGGATAGACAATTCTCTATTTCAACAGGCTTGATGCTATCTGAAGGGCTTTTATATATGCCGGGCCATCCATTGGACAGTAAGTGGCTTTCTCACAGGCTGTGTTTTCCTTTCTAGGGTCTTAGACATACAGGATGAACATTGGAGTGTGGCGATTAATTTGAACAGTTTTTTTTTTCTGTCAACTGGAGTATTTCTGGAAAAAATGAGGGAAAAGATATTCATTCTTTGTCTGTCAGATGCCAATTTGTTAGTTTATAAGTTATTTGAAGATTATAAGGGCCCGAACAAAAGACACGCAAGGCCTCTGGTATCATTCTGAATTGTACATAATTTCTATGAAAAATTATATAGAAATTCTTCACCTTTTTGATTAAAACCCCATAAAGCCTGACCCAAGAAAAGATGGAAGAAAGATAATGAATTATTTCATGGTCTTTGTTTTTTGTTCTTTAATACAATGTAAAAAGAATGTAAAAAATATAATCTAAATGTTTTTATTTCTTAAATTGAATCAATATTTTCTCCACATATGCTACAAACCTAAATGCAAAAAATCTATATCGAATTTGATACATTCGGCATGAAAGGGTTAAAAGCCTCATAGACAGAAATTTTCATACAAAAGAAAATCGAAAAACACTTGGGCGGAATGAGGAGGATGATTGCAAGTAAGCACTGCGGCATATCCGGAGGGAAATCATCACAAAAGGGCAATGCACTGTAAAAGCACTGCAGGAAGCATCCAGGTAAAAGAAAAAAAAGCCACATCAACCCACCACTGCAGCGTAGTTTTTACGTCTTTTTTGCCAGTCTTTGGGAGGGTTAGTAAATGCTCTGCTATACATATCACAAAAAAAAAAAAAACAACCCACAAATTATTCTTGCAAATGCCTCTCTCCAAGTTTTTTTAATAGATCAATATGTTTCTATATTTATTTCTAAAAATTGGCTGAAAACCTGCCATACTACCAAATTTTCATTATCAGGCTTCAAGTCTGCTGTGAATCAACTATTATTTTTTTTGTTTATGCGTTTTGGGTAACTACTTTTACATCGTCAGGGGTGTTTCCATGAGTTCATCCATGTTTTACTACTGATTGGTTTTAGAGATTTATCGATTCCCCCCCCCCCTCATCTTGACTTTTAAACATGAGTTCCATAATCCCAGCTTTTTGAATGGTCATTTGGTTAAAAAAAAAGAAAGAAGCGTTAACAGAGCTGAAGAAGAGCAGATTTATACCTCTCGTGTGTAAGGTGCAGGTTAGCAGAGAGGCATCTTACCCTTCTCTATGAGCTTCTCCTTTTTCCAGTTCCTGGATGACCCCAAGTAGCACCTTGATGGTCTCTTGGCTGGAGCTGATGAGATTCTCCATGGCCTGGAGCTGTGCTTTTACATCCCCGTCTTGATTTATAGGCACTATTTGCTTGCAGGCTTCCTGTGTCCGGTCGGACGGTGCCCCGTCGTCCTCGCCCCCTATGCAGGGCGACAGCGATTCCTCCATGCCCCGTATGGGCCGGGCGGACAGCTGACCCGTGTGGCACTGCACCTGCGTCGTGCAGCCCCTGCCGGCTCTGGGCAGAGTCTCGCTGGACAGGCCGTTGAGCTGCAGGCCTTTCTTCCGCTTGTTCCGCACGGAGGGGCTGTCCAGGCACTCCACCTGCGTCAGCGAGTTCCAGGCGATGGGGCCGGTCACCTTGGAGGCCCTGTCCGGCAGGGTTTGGGACGAGCCCGCCTCCAGGGTGAGCAGCTGCCTCCGGGCCGAGCGGTCGGCGTCGGCCTCCCCGCGTTGTAATCCGGCTTTGGGTTTGAGGCCGCAGAGCTGGTAGTCCGCCGGCGGCGCCCCGGCCCCGCCGGCCTTTTGCGCGTCGGCGAGGCGGTCGGCGAGCAGCAGCGCGTCGGGGCAGAGGGGGCCGTCGGGCGCGGCGTGCTGCTCCACCGCCGCCGCGCACTCATTGGTGTGGAGCAGAGCCCGGGTCCTCAGGACTCCGCCCCCCCCGCAGGCTCCGTCCTCCTCCTCCTCCTCCTCGCCCAGACCCCGCTCGGCCGCCCCGGACGGCTTGGCCTCCATGAGGAAACCGTTGTCCTGACCCTTGTAGGTTTCCACGGCCGCCACGTGCTTGAACGTGTGGCCTTTCTTGCGCTCGAAGGGAAAGGTCTGGTAGCGCTTCTTCAGGTCGGGGGACGTCTGCACGCCGGTGCTCCTGGTGACGTTGGGGATGGAGCGGCGGGCGGGCACGGTCATGTACTTGCGGTAGGCCACTTTGTAGGATATGGGCTTGCCGCCCCTCGCCGCCGCCTGCAGGGCGGCCTCCCTCTGCTCGTTCTGCGCCTCGCAGATGTCCTTGAAGCGCACCTGCAGGGCTTTGTTTCTCTTCCTCACCTGTCGGCTGGCTTCCAGGGAATACTTCACCTCCAGTGCCAGCGAGGTGGAGGGCACCGGGGCCGCCTCCGAGTCAGACTCTGAGTTGGTGAGCATGCATTTGCCCCCTTCCTTGCTCGCCATGTTTCCTGAGAGCCACGGAAAAAAAAAAGAAAAAGCTGTGTTAATTATCAGAAAATGAGCGGCAGAGACAAAGATCCTTTCTTTCAGTGTGACAATCTCAACAAAACACACGTGCTCTCCAAGCTTTTTTGGGAAGGGAGGAAACACTAATTAATGTGGGGGACTTAATGGGGTGACATGAATAAAGGGTGTCATTAGCACATCATTGGATGCCTCCATAAAAAAAAAAATGCAAATGCAAAATTATTAATGAACTAATTCAAAAGTATTACTGTGTTATTTGATATACTTTGCTTATGTTTAAGTCTGAAGGCGATGTACATTTAAACGTGTTCTATGTTAATACCCGAAAACAACCTTTTTTTCTTAATTGTCATTTACATTAATTTTCTCACTTGGTTGCCATTTTTTCAGTGTTTGTCTAATGAAATTTTAGTTTTGTATTCAAGTTCACAGTGTCATCATTCACTGATGATAATGCCTGCAGATTTCCATAATCCATTTAATCATCTCCATGAAGATTGATGGCTCCAGTTTCAGCATAAATGTAATTCTATTATTATTTAATGCCACATCTCATTACAGGTCTGTCCTCTACCCTCTTCTGTATTGATAAGTGTCGCCTCTCTGTTTGAATGGGAGGGTTGCAGTGGTTATTAGTCACTCTACATGCAATCATCGAGTATAATTCTACTCTCACACGTTCACACACCCTTTAAACTCACAATCAGAGCACACGTGCAGACTTTTTAATGTTGGTAGAACATTAAAACAAAGCGATTGACTTCATTTCCATATCCAGAGGCTGCGGATTTGGCTGCCGTTTGCCGATGCCGTGCTTTGTTTTATTGTTTTTGACTGAACCGCAGGAGCCTGTCCTGCACAGCGGGAGTGAGAGCGAGCGGCTAACACCATGCAGAGCGGTTGTTGATCTGTCAGATTTTGTGCGTCGGTGTGAGATTTTGCGATCAGCGAAAAACTCCGGGTTGTTCAAACTTTTCAAGGACTGCAGTGACTTTTCTGGATCCTGGGTGCCTCAGACTTAATGAAATCAGCGTGTTCTACCAGGTGTTTAGAACATATTTGATTGGAGCTGGAACCGATGAATAATTGGGCCAAATGTAGAGTTGGTGAAAAATATACGTGCGTGTCTATGTGTGTTTTTGCTTTTTTTTTTTTTAAACATTGTCTAATTTCAAATGGACTTCAGTTAACTTTAATGAAGAAAGTGTGCTGGCCCCCTCTTCCAGCATCAACACAAATCATTACTTTTCTTCATCCTCTGTCTAGATGAACATAAAATAAACAGGGACAGTACCCACAAACTGACAAACTTTCGGCAGAAAACGCTATAACTCCACCCCAAAGACATGTGAGCAGAGAAAATGAATAGCTTTACCCCGGTGCCACTGGTATGGTAATGGCATCGTGCCTCTGAGGCACACAGCTGATAAGCAAACACTCTGCACGCTCATATAGATGCTGAACCAGATAAGACAATTATCCCTCTGAGCTTATCTACCATGACTGTTCTCTGTCAACAGTGAATGACTTGCCATTAGAAACCTGCTTGTTTGGTTACCTGAGAGCTATAGATAGAACCCTGTTTTCCCCGTCACCGCCATTTATCCGGCTTCGTATGAATGTAGCATTTCTGCTTCCTTTAGAGGACGAATAGCCTCCTTTCTTTGAATATCTCCAGTATCATCTATAAATATTGCAACTTTGTTGGTGTAGTCGTTTTTCATCTAAAGAAGCTCCAGCATTCTACCTTCTCCTGTATGCGAGGAGTGAAAACTCGGAAAGCTTCGCTTTCCCACAAAATTCATCTTGGTTTTTTGCTATAAATTAAATTGTTGCCTGGTACATAATATTTACTTGAAATTGCCTTTTGCAGATGACAGATATTTCCTGGAGATCGGAGTTATCTGTGGATGCCCTGTCATGTTAAGGCAACATGGACGTTGCAAAGCGTTTGAAGCTATTTAAAAAGGAGGCCATTAAAGACAGATGTGAGGGTTTTGCAGAGTGACAGTCCTCCCCTGAAACCAGTCAAACATTAGCCGGCAGTGTCAGTGTGAAGTGAGAGCAGCACAGCATGTCCATATAGAGCAGTTAGAAATGGCAGCACTTTGATTTTCAGCTGACAGATAGTCACTGATCAGCCATAGACCATACATTAAATTTAGGATGCCTTTGTTAGGATATTGAAAACAAACCAACAAAAAACACTCACTGGAAGGCCCTGTTATGCAATCTATCACAGTAGTCTGTCCACAGTTACGAGGATATAAATGCTCAGTCAGTACAGTGCAACAGCCATTCATCCTTTGCATAGTATTTAAATTCATATTTATAGTTGATTTCAGAGATATTCCTTTTATATACCGTATTATTTGAAGTTTGCTTTTGTTGGACATATAATGATGCATGTGTAATACTAAGCATCATAGCTTGTGTTTAAAAGGATCTGAACATAACACAGTTAGCTATGAAAAGGTCAGGAAATACTATGTTCTCAGCAAAAAAGGAGGAATAATGTTCTCAAGATCTCAACTGGACTCATTAAAGAACTGAATGACTCCTGACCTCCTTGTCATTGAGCTGATTGAACTCTTAAAGTGGAGTCACTGACAAGAATGTAAAGAGGAAGATACAGGACGGCATGTCTTTAACTCAGTCATATTCCAATTAAAAGCCTGGGTGTCCAACATATGGAGCCTTTACACTTGAAAAAAGTTGGGGATTTTTTTTCTCGTCCTCTGGTGGTTTGATCATGTCAGATGTTTTCCTCGGCTTGTATCTGTTCATCAGCATGGCGACGCTCTCCTGATCCGTAGCCCCCAGTGTCCTCTTCATGTTTGTACAGATGGTGACATTTTGAATGCAAGATAAATTGAACCCCTAACCAGCAGCAGCCAATGAACTTCTAGTTTCTAAGAATGGCTTGAATTAAAACGTATTATACCTACATTATTCAAGTATTTGTATATATATACTTCACTTTAAATAATGTTTCCAAATGAATTATTTTTCAGTTCATTTACATTAAGTTTTTTTTAAAGCAAAAATCACCAAATATCCTCTCATATCATTCTGATATTCTTTTTTAGCCTTCAAGCTTCCCAGTGCTTTTAGTGTTAGATGGCATTGTATCATATCTGCACTTTAATTTGATCCTTTTGGACAGGTTAGCACTGTGGGCTAAATGATGTGTCCCTGGATCCACATATCTGATTTATTACCCACTAGGTTCAGACTCGGGCGACGGCCGCTCGGCTCGTATCTCACCTCTGGGTTGAACACCACCCTACAGCCTCTTTCATAAACAGCATGATTCAGCAGGCATACTTAAGACAACGGGCCCTTTGGTGTGAGTTTCCTAGTTCTGTTTTTAAATCTCAGGGCATGTTCACGGGATTTCAGCCACTATTTCTTTCCCCAAACAGCCCTTGTAGAGTCGCACGACGTAGCACATTAGCATGCTCTCATGCTGTCGTTTGGGTAAATCTTAGGTACAAAAGGCCATGCAATGTGAGGTTCTTTTTAAAAGACTGTTTATAATTAAGTTAGCCATTGGAACAAGCTAATTGTACATTCAAGGTTATTTTGGTAGAATTTTAATAGAATAGGTTTTTATTCTCGGAGCTCAAACTCATTTAATTCATTGCACCTTGGATTAAAGATTTTGAGTTTTTATTTTAAAACTCCATATGACTCAGTATTGTTGTGAATGGCACCCCCTTAATTTGCCTGCAGGGTAAGGCTTAAAATGTGCAAATTTCAGAGCCCTTATTCATCCTAGGCATTGATTGTTTACCGTGTCTTCTAGGCTGACTAATTTTGTCTTATCACTTCTGCTCCACCAAAGGGAAAATTCATTAATATAGCATGTCTCACAAAAGTGAATTTCTAAAACACTGGAGACATGACTACACATGTCAATTAGTCATAGTGATGGCTTAAAAAACAAACAACTATTCTTTTTTATGCATTAAACAGTATGTTTCTGGCACACTTTTCCATTATCCTCATTTTTCGTTTTCATCACTTAAGCGGCTGATCAGGGTATAAAAAACAGGGTGGAAAATTTTTCTTAGCAGTTTTGAGTAAGTTGTTGTGACTATTAAGTTACTTATTAATATGCTGCCTGGCTCCATGCTTTTACTTGTGATCTGAGCTTCTTTCCGCCATTTGAGCAATATCTTATTGCTACAGGCTTAAATTAAGATTTTATTAAAACTGTGCTTTCAAATATGAGACAGTCAAGGATTTTACAGTCTGTTCATATGAACAAACAATATGAACTTTCCCTCTAAGAGCTCAGACCTCAACCATGTTTGATTATTTTGTATTGTATCGTTAGTCGCTGTCTAAATGAGAGCGCATTAATGCTGCCAAGTCCCCACATTGTGTCTCAAGTCTTCTCAGTGCCGTTTCCAGTGATGATATGGTTTTAGTGTTCGATTTCTGCAGTTGAGTTTGTCTGTTGTGTTCCAGGTTTGCAAAGTTGACCGTGTTTTCATCTTTTAGTGTGCAATCAATGACACTGAGTACATTGCATCATGCAGGCACCAAATGCAGCAAATCTGTTTTCCTGTTTATGCTCTAGTATATTTTTCAGGAGAGTCTTTCAAGCAATTGCGGATCAGACTTTATGGGCTGATGCCTTGTTGCCAAGAACTGATTTAAAGGTTTTTCTCAGAATAATCATGAAATATTGTAGCTTATGGATGAGTAAGGATGCAGCATTTGCTAAGCTAGTAACCAGAATCAGTCAAATATCTGCTTGATGAAATCGACTTTGACCTACAAATCAGACAAAGATTAAAAAAACAAAATAAATAAACAAACAAGTCACATGTGGTCATCTGTGACATTTTCAGGGCATGAACACAGACCACCATGTCTCATTTGAACTAATCTTTTATGAAAATTGCACGTTGCGTTTTGAACAAAGGTAATTTTCACATTTTAAATTTTAACAGCTTACTGTGAGA